CCCCAAAACCCCAAAACCCCAAAACCCCAAAACCCCAAAACCCCATTAATTCAAAGTTTAATTGAAGGAGATATCAAAAATGCACCAAAAAAGGAGAAAACGGGAGAATTCAACATCGGGGTTCATTTTCAATTGAATTATTGAGCTATTCCGACTTAAACCTTATTCACTTTATGGTAGGTTTGGTTTAATCAATTCTTTTGTTAAATATTATTATTTAAGGGAAAATACAAAGATTATAAAGCTCTTTCTTCCAGAAATATAAGATTCCCTGTAAGTTAAAGCAATTATCATTTGGAACCATTAAGCAGGGCCAAGCTTAAAGTTTAGGGTTAATTTTGACATATATCAAGATTTAACTTCTGAATCGATCTATTCTTTTCAGCCAAGCTCCACTACAATGAATATTCTATTAAGCAGCAGAACTATAAATCTGAACACATATCAAACACTTTAATAATGAAGTAAAGTAATTCAAGATTTTTTACCAAATAATTGAAAAGTCCTCAAACCAGCCATCTAAATTAAAACTGCTCATTAAGAGCCACCAATGCAGTTAAGTCAACCATTTAAGCTTAAAAGTAAGGACTTTCTAGAAATACTTCAGCAGACAGGGAAAGAAGCAAGATATTAAAAAACATAACTTAACCCCCTCTTGCATCCACTTTATAGTTCAAATATCTACATTCTAAGTATATTTTCTCTCCAACACTTCTGGTGCTATGTAGAAAGAAGTTTCAAGTCAGGTCTTGAGTTTATAAGAGTTGGAGAAATAACTTGAGGAACAAAATCAATTACTTATATTTGTAGGGTAGAAAGTTCGATAATAACACTCTCCGGCTTTAAATATCGATGCATGATGACTGAAAAAATTGAGTCGAAACTTTTATGTTTCTTATAGTCATCTAAAATTTGATAGCAAAATTTATTATTTACTTGAAATTCATTTGAAATTTCAATGATTTTTTGTGATATTCTTCGAATGATAAGACTCGAGGAATCTAAGCAGTCGTTTGATAATAATCTTTGCATCGCCTTCAGATACCTTCTTACTATCAAGTATGTAATCTTACAATCTTTTACCTTTGACAAGATCTCACAAATATATAACTTTGAATCTTGCTTAAGCACTTCGTATATCTGGACTAAATTCAGATTGTCGAAGAATCGGTGAACAGAGATCTCCCTAAAATTTGATTGAAGTTCATTATCACTCCATCAAGTTTGTAGATCTTAATCGCAACTTTGGAGGAGGGATTGGCTATACATAGTTATTAAATATTAACCATATTTGGAATGTAATGGGATTTTCAATTAAAAAGATCTACATTGGGGTTTTGGGGTTTTGGGGTTTTGGGG